GAGTTTCTTTAATTTTTTTTGAGTTCTGGGAACTAACAAGGCCGTACAGTGTACTCAAAATGAGCAAGTTGCCCTAACTTGGTCATCTTAAGTAAACTTGATACAATTTTTTTGAGTTCTGGGAACAAATTAGATTTTACAGTGTGGAGACAGCAGTGGCCTCATTGTTCTGACACACAACACAAAGCTATCCACAACACTACACACTAACTACACAAGACAACACATTAACTACACACTCCAAACACGCTAAACGTCACATCTCAAAACTCTCTCTCTCTCTCTTTTTCTGCTCTCTCTCTCTCGCCGTCACTCCTGAAACTTCCCCCTCTTCCTAAACAACCAAATGTCATGTTGCCATATCATTTTTTGATTGGTGCATTTTTCCACCAACACGAATGGGCTGTTTTTTGTTTTGTTTGTTTATTTTTTTCTCCAGGTGTTGTGCCAGACAGTGCTCGTGATCGCCGTCCGCGGGAGCGCGCAGCTGCTTAAAGCTGTAGCGTCCAGATTACTTACAGCTACTTCCTGCAGCTGATATAAGATGCCGTAAGCTGAACACAGCTTCAACCGTCTGTTGAAAAATAGTAACGCACCGCATTTTCTTGTTAGTAACTGTAACGGCGTTGTAACAATCGAAATAGTAATTCGTTAGATTACTCGTTACTGAAAAAAGTAACGCCGTTTGTAGCGCTGTTATTCCCATCACTGGATGAGTGTTTCTGCAATGCACTGATCAGTTTCAGTCATCAGGAACTAAAGGATATTGGCCTTATCCAGAACCCAGACTTTAATTCAGATTGAACCGACAGTATCCCAACTGAGATTGCAGAACAACACGGGAGCTCCATGGGTTATTGTCAGAAACAGCAAGTGACGCAGATGGAGCAGGGAGAGAAATCAAAGTGGGGATGCAGAGTTGGCACATCCAGCTATCAAAACAACAACACAAACTCCCGTTTCCATCCATCTTACTCACCAAAGCCAGATCCCTCGCAAACAACACTAAGGAGGTACAATCAGAGATTTTACTAATACCGCTTTTTCCGTAAGTGTTGTCTACTGATTGTAACTCAATCTTAGCTCCATCCAAACATCCGCAGTGTCTTAGTGGAGTTACCGGGCCAGACATTACACCGCTAGGACTGCCACAAAGACTCTGGTGGGGGAAGGCGTGCTGGGATCTGCGCTGATGTGCTTCAACACTGGTGCCATAACAGCAGAATTATAGACATTAACCATGATTACCATTGTTTACATCCCCGCAATGCAAACTTTAGCTCAGCACTCAATCCCCTCCAACTTATCATCATCAAACAGCAGAGAGGACATCAAGGGTGTTCATATCGTTTGTGGGGACTACTAAGGCATGTTTGAAATCTGTACTCCCCAAATTCCACCAACGTGTTAAGTGTCCTACCATTGGGGACAGGACACTGGACCATATGTACAGTAACATCAAGCATGTCTACAGAGCATCACCACTCCCCCACCTGGGACAGAATTATCACCGGCCTCTGCTCCTCCTCCCTGCCTACATCGCCCCCAGGAAACAGACCCCTCCAAGCCCCTGGGTCATTAAAGCATGGCCAGATGATGTTCTCCTCCAAGTAGAGGACTGTTTTGATCTGACAGACTGGTCCATGTTTGAAGAGCAGGACCCAGAGACCTTCAAGTCTGTCCTTTTCTACACAAGTACTGTGTAGTAAATGTGGACTTGTAACTCAGCCAAGGAGACGTACAGGAGAGGGATAGAGGTCCTCCTCACTGACATCATCCCACACCAGGTGTGGTATCCAAACTCACTAACTACAAAGGACAGAGCCCCCAAGCCCCAACAGCAGCCTCAAACTTGCAGAAGAGCTCAGACCAACTGGAAGGAATCCCTGCCAGGCTGTTCAACCTCTCCCTGACTCATCCCACAGCGGTTCCCACCTGTCCGAAGGCCTCCACTATCATTTCTATCCCCAGTGAGGCTGGTATAGACAGCCTCACTGACTACATACCTGTAGCCCCCACATCTGTAGTCATGAAGTGCTTCGAGCAGTGTCTTGTGTCTAAGCACAAGACTGTCTTTCCTCCTCCTTCGATCTGCACCAAATTCCTTCATTTCACCTGGTGGAGAACCTCTCCTGGTCCCTCAACACCAGCTCCATAACTAAGAAGGCCCAACAGTGTCTCTACTTCCTGCGAAAGCTGAGAAAAGCCCATCTCCCACCATCCATTCTCACCACCTTCTACAGGGGGACTATCGAGAGCGTCCTGAGCAGCTGCATCACTGTGTGGTATGGTAACTGCATTGTATTGGATCATAATACCCTACAATGGATAGCGAGAGCAGCTGAGAAGATCACTGGAGCCTCTCTTCCCTCCATCACGGACACCTGCAACAGCAAACCCACTAGCATTGTGGAGGACCCCACACACCCCTCATATCACTCTGCTGCCTTTTGGCAAGAGGTACCGAGGCCCTTACTGCCAGACTGTGGAACAGCTTCTTCCCCTTGGCCGTCAGACTCCTGAACACTCAGTGACTGGACGAACACACACACACCTTCATACTTCACCTTAAAATTTGCACAATGCTCAGTCTTTTTGCACGACACGCTCTCATTGTTGCACTTTTATATTATACACTGTTGTGTCTGTATCGTTCTGTGCTGGCTGGTGTTGCACTGCTTTTGATTTGGGTTTTTTTGCAATGTTTGCATACTTGCACTTTATGTAGTACTGCGTTGATTGTCTGTTATATGTTATATGAAGCACCATGGTCTTGGAGGAACGTTGTCTTATTTCCCTGTGTACTGTACCACTGCACATGGCTGAAATGACAATAAAGCCACTTAACCTGACTTGAAATATGCCAATGATACCACCATGGCTGAGCTCATTGATGGAGATGAGACAGCGTACAGGGCGGAGGTAGAGAACTTGAAGCTGGTCGTCCAAAAACAAAAGAACTCGTAATGGACTTCAGGAGACACAGACAGTTCCACTCCCCTCTGATTATAAATGGAGAACGGGTGGAATCTGTCTCTACCTTCAGGTTTCTAAGCATCCACATCTCCACTGATCTTACTTGGACCCACAACACCATCACCCTGGTAAAGAAGGCCCAGCAGCGGCTAAACTTTCTCCATGTCCTGAGGAAGGAGAACCTGGAAATGATGTTATTATTAAACTTAGAGTTTTTCTGCTCAGTGCTCAAAGCTAGGAACTATGCCTGAGGGATGATTTTAGGGAAGAGCCAAAAGCAGAAAAAAAATGAAACAGGACTTCTGATTTTGGCTGAAGGCCTCCTTATTTGAAATATTAACTCTGTTTAATATTAGCACTGATTATTACAACAGTATTTCCATGACAGTAAACAGCACACCAAGTTGTTTTCCAGTTGACAAATTAATTTGGGAATTTGGGACTCATGTTGAGGAATACAATCCAGGCAACACTAAAACATATTCTGTAGGATAGAAATGTCGTTTACTGAGGACGGGGGTACCTGGATGCAGCAGGGCTTCATTCAGATAAGAGAGAATCTTCTTTGTGTGTGCGGCAGACCGTCTGGAGGACGAGGATTTGGACTCAAATGCAAGCACGGACGACAGCGTAGCTGTGAGAAAGTTTATTAACAATGAAAGGCAAAATATAAACCAAAGCAGAGCATTGCAGGGAACTACGCTAACAAAAACCTAAACTGGGAACAGCTACAAAATAATAATGAAAGGAACAAAAACCTGCAATGAGAAACCTGGAACGGGAAACCTGGAACATGGAGAAACACACAGCAGAAATACGGGTAGACACGCAGACGAACCAGCAACTAACAGACGGAAACGCAGGGCTTAGATACACATGGGATAGCGAGGGAATGAGACACAGAAGGGGAACACAGCTGGGAGTAATCCGACATGACAAGACCAAGGGGAAGAAAAAGTCAATACAATGACATAGGACACAGACTTTCAAAGTAAGACAGGAAACATAACAGATGCGGACGTGACTAGGTGAGACAGCAACCATGGAGCACAGAAACCAAAAGACTAGAAAAGATAAACAATAACAAAATCAAAGTTCAATAGTAACACAGAAACAAAAACACTGGACCGTGACATTGTGTTTCTATTTAAGTGTTCACTGGAAGCTTATTAGAAGATTATTTAGCTTGTTTGTTCTTCTAGATTAATTATCAAACCAAAAGGCTCTTAAAGTTTTCATTTGTGTGTCCAAAAGTGTTGCATTTCCTTTTCTACTTCAAAGACTTTTTCATTAATACATACCACATTTTGTTCAAGCACTGATTAATGGCTGACCTTTACACCACAGGCATGAAAACACTGGTAGCACCGGTGGGACCTCACTGTATATAAAGTTAATAAAATAATTAACTTTGCTTCAAAGACATTTTTCAACCTGTATCTATCAAACATCATGTGATACGATCCTACATTGAAACTATCCTGCAACTTACTGTGTTCAAATCTTACTTTTTTAGAGATCTTAATTCTAAAAATAAAGTCAGATTTAACAGTTTGACGGTGTAGATGAACTTCATTTGGAACAGGTAACCCTTTCACTCCAGCCGGGGCGTTTTCGACCATCTTCTTCACCATCACACGTGCTGTGGTAATGGTTGAGATGCCAATGTGGGGAGTGATGAGTATATTAGGAAGCTCAAGCAATGGATGATCCCTACACAAGAAAAATCAGAGATAGCTGTCACGGCCCAGCGGCACGAGGGAACAAAGATGGACACAGGTGCAGAAACCAACCCGGAAGCGAGACGGTAGGGAACAAATGATTTATTTCCGCCCACAGGCAAACAAAAGCAAAAGCAAAGCGGTGCCACCACACTCGTGGCGCGTAGGATTATCTACGATAATGAGGGTGACCTAGACACCTCTAGGAGACGGCTGAACAGCAGAGGCAGCGGGGAGGTAGAAACAGGATTAGGCAGGGGCCGGGGCACTGGAATAAGAGGCAGGCAAGTGAGTGGTGGGCCGGCAGGCCACGTCGTGTTAGCAGCAGGCGGCCCAGGTCCAGGAAGGCGGGAGTGAGGGAGACAAGATCTCCACTCCAGGTGCTACCTCTGAGGACAAGAAAAACAAGTAAGACATCACACAGCGTCTGACAGAGTTATGATGCTTCACTCGACTGACATGGGGATAGCAGATACTCAGGCGATGAATGGTTGAGAGCGCAGGTCTGATATACTGCTGGCATGATTGCTCACAGGTGGTCAGCCAGGGAGGAGCAACCGAACTCCGCCCAAAGGAGGAGGGGCCGCTGTCGGAGACCTGCAGGTGCCCACCCAGACCATGACAATAGCACTGCATGAGTCTGCTTGAACGCGTGATTCTGTTGTGTTACTTTGTACGCACAGACATAGCACCTTGGTAAAGGTTCAGGATGAGTCACATCTAAGGCCGCTGCACGAATTGAGAGCTGCAAGCTGTTTTAAGCAAGCCCACCTCCATGCCAACTACTCCTGTCATATAGTGTCTGACTAAATCATATTTATTGTCATTGGTATTGTGTCTGTTTTGTTCTGAAGTCTTGATGCTGTTGATGCTGATGATGTTCTATATATACAGAAACAAGAGCAAAATGTGGAAGGGTAGAAAAGCCCAACCACTACAGCAGTACTGACTAATCATCCTTGAGGGCTTTTAGCACACTAATGAAATCATCACTACAAAACATATATATATATACAGTGGAACCCCGACTTACGAATACCGCATTTAACGAAAAATTCAAGTTACGAAGGCACTTAACGGCAATATTTTTTCCCGTGTTACGGCAAAATGCCCGCATAATGAAATTCGCTGGCTCTGATTGGCTGAGCCCAGAATGCCTACAATGCCCACAATGCCTTCCGAATCATGTGACAACCCCCTTGGCTTTCGTACTTGCGCTTCGCTGTTCCACTTGAACAACGTATTGTTGTTGCAGTTAGCAGTTAGCCTATAGCCTATCGTTCACTCAAAAGGCGCGATGGGTGCTTCGACTTACGAAAGACCCTTAGGAACGAATTAATTTCGTAAGTCGGGGTTCCACTGTATACTTGTGTTCTTTTATTTACCTTCTGGTCCTCTTGTGATACATAACCTTCATTTCAAATCCTTTGCTTCTTTGAGCAATCTTGTAACCAACCTCTCCCATTCCAGTGATTCCAAGGGTCGCCCGTGTGACTTCAACTCCCATCAGATTTTGAGGTATATGGACAGTCTTTGGGTCTGTAGCTATCTGGTGACCTATGATGAAAAAAATCTTTTGGCTGGATTCACAGATGATACATTTTAGATCATGTTAACATGGTAAATGATGCAATTTACTCCTACGTCTAAAAGAAGGAAGTATTATTCTGCTTATCTGTTGAAGAGTTAAGAGTGATTAGGCATTAGGTCTTGGTTATAGAATTGCTTGAACATTGGGCCACTTTGGTTAACCTGTAATCTCACCCTCATGAATGTTGCGAGCTGAAGCCAGAAGTAGCCCCATGGCTAAATCTGCAGTGCACTGACCACACCAGGTGTGTTGGCCACTTTGGCACCAAGACTGTTGATGAATAGCACATCCAGATGATCGATTCCCACTCCTCCACTGGCTACAACTTTAAGGCAGGGAAGCAACCTGAGCAACCAAGGCTTGGCTGCAGGGCAGTACTTCCAATTTAGCAGAGCCTGTATTTTGGATTATGGAGCACAGGGTTCTGCAGAAAGTCTTTGTAGCAGACGATCTGGAAGTGTTGTTTCACTATGTCAGCTAGCTCTTCAAGGTACAGTAGCCATGTGGACCCCCAACCTTTGAAATTAGTGCCCATGGCTTTTCCTCCTCCATCACTTTCTTTGAAAAAAAAAAATGCCCTATCATTTTTTCTACCAAATAGTAAAGACTGTGATTTGGTAGCTTAACCTAGTATGACACGATCTACTCTAATCAGCTGAACATAGTAATCTAGTAGCTGACCAGTTCAAAAGAATTGATATTTTCAGGGTTAAATGACTCTTTTCACAGGTTTCTTAAAAAGAACAGTTTATCTGTTATTAAGAACAAACTCCATAAAGAAGTCATCACTTAAATGAGAAAGACTCACCCTTGAAATTGCCTTTCAACCCCTGAGCTTTCTTCGCCTGGTGTAGTGACAGGTGAGCCTTTGCAGGCTTTCTTACACTACTGTAAAGTTACAGATTAAGTAAAGTTAATATGAAAACATGGGCTGTGTTCAATCTGCAGCATAGTGAGGCTGCAATAAATAGAGTTTACGATTCACCGATATAACATGTATAGCATGAATTAGCACTTCAAAGTTATGCTCTGCAACCTCTCCGGTTATCTAAAAGACAAACTGTAAAGGCTTTGTGAACTTTGGTAACAGATGATTACTGTAAGACTAGACAAGGCCAGACTGAATGAAGTAAGATATGTTTAAAGTTGCATCAGACAGTTCCTTTATGAGTGCCAACAGATTCTATTTTAACCTAAAAAGAACAGATGGATGATGTTAGTGTACGTTACTCTCTCACTTCTGACAGCTAATGACGTCAGACTTAAAGACCGGATTGAGACATTAGGTGCACTTAGTTTTTCACACACTTCTGCATTTTGGCTTGGCTGTTGCTGAATAAATAAATAACGGCATGGTTTAAAATGTCATGGGTTGTGTCCATCTGGCGTTATATTAACCTGGTTTTATGGCTTGATTCCTGCAGACATGCAGAAACAAACTAAACCTGCACTGAACTAATTGACTAATGCTGTAGAGAATCTGCAGGTTTGTCTGGACTAAACTTACTGGGGTGTTTTCAGGACTGGTACCAACATTTTGACGAATTATACAGATGCTGTGATGTCCTACATCAGCTTCTGTGACGACAGGTGCTTACCATCAAGCACCGGGGTTAGGTATAATAATCGCAAACCCTGGTTCACACCTGAGGTTGGAAAGGAGTGGAGACACAGACAGTTTCAATACATGGAAATACAGGTTTAGCAAAGCGGTGAGAGAAACATCTGAACTGAAAGAAACTACAGACTCTGCAGAGTTATTTCAGCTAATGACCCTGCTCAGGCAGCTAACCAACTACAAACCTAAACAATGGCTGGCTAACAAACCGACAACACAAGGCAAGACTGGCACACGTACTGTTTGTATCACATACTTTGTACACTCCCTTTATCTGACAACAGAGCTCACAGCAGGCAGACGGAAAATGAGGAGTGAACAGCAAGCGGGACAATCGTGGCTCAAGAGTTGGGAGTTCGTCTTGTAATCGGAAGGTTGCCGGTTCGAGCCCCGGCTCGGACAGTCTCGGTCGTTGTGTCCTTGGGCAAGACACTTCACCCGTTGCCTACTGGTGGATGTTCAGAGGGCCCGGTGGCGCCAGTGTCCGGCAGCCTCGCCTCTGTCAGTGCGCCCCAGGGTGGCTGTGGCTACAATGTAGCTGCCATCACCAGTGTGTGAATGGGTGGATGACTGGATATGTAAAGCGCTTTGGGGTCCTTAGGGGCTAGTAAAGCGCTATACAAATACAGGCCATTTACCTTTTTACTTCTGTTAAGTCATAAATTCCACTTCATCTGAAGAGTTTGTACTGTTGCTTTGACAAATAAAGGAACAGTCCTAAGTTTGCACACTGGATGCAGTACAACCATTTTGCACTTCTTTGTCCAGCACATCCTACAGATGCTAAACAGGATTGAGATCCAGAGAATTTAGAGGCCAATTCAACACATTAAAACTCATTAATTTATTTGCTTTGTGGCAGAATAAATTATTCTGTTCATTTTAATCAGTACCAAATCACAACTCAGTCACCTCAATGGGCTTTGCAGAAATTACTCAACAGTTACAGTAGTGACAGTGAGAAGGAAAAACTCGATTTCAACAGGAAGATACCTCCTGCACAACCAGGCCCAGGGAGGGACAGCCATCACTGGTTGACAGTGAGGAGAGCGGGACAGGAAAAAAGCCACACTGCTGAAGAGAGGCAGAGATTAATAATAACTAATGATTAAATGCAGAGTGGTGTATAAAAACATTAAAAAGTTTGGTGAAAAAGAAACACACATGGGAAGCTCCCAGAAGACTAGGCCTGCTTCAGCATCACTAAGGGAGGATTCAGGGTCACCTGGTCCAGCCCTAACTATATGCTTTAGCAAAAAGGAAAGTTTGAAGCCTAATCCTGAAAGTAGAGATAGTGTCTGTCTCCTGAACCCAAACTGGAAGCTGGTTCCACAGAAGAGGGGCCTGAAAACTGAAGGCTCTGCCTCCAATTCTACTTTTAAATACTCTAGGAACAACAAGTAGGCCTGCAGAGCGAGAGCGAAGTGCTCTAATAGGGTGATATGGTACTACAAGGTCATTAAGATAAGATGGGGCCTGATTATTTAAGACCTTGTATGTGAGGAGCAGGATTTTGAATTCTGGATTTAACAGGAAGCCAAAACAGGAGAAATCTGCTCTCTCTTTCTAGTCCCTGTCAGGACTCTTGCTGCAGCATTTTGGATCAGCTGAAGGCAGATAGAAGACTCCTTGGATTTTAGATCCGAGGAGTTATGCAGGAATAGTCTGTAGCAGATTATTTGAAAATGCTAATTCATTATGTCATTTACCTCATCAATGAAAGCATGTTCACTACCCCGCCCCTGACACCCCTCCTTTGGGATCAGAGGCTCCATTAGCTGAAGGGATAAGACACAAAGGTAAACACATTAGGGCTTCTCAAACACTTTGGTTTTGCCAGTGCTGGAAGGAACAGAGACACCACATTCAAACCTCAAAGCTCCATCTAAAAGCTGTTCCCTGCGCTTTGCTTTTGTGACACAGTAACACCATACTCATTAGCTGATATACAGCTTAACTTATTAAAGACACTACACTCCACCATATGTTAGATGTCAGTATTCAAAGGTGTATGTGTGCATTCCTGAAATTAGTGTGAATGTGGGACGACAGCTGGTGGAAGGCAGGCTGAATCCAACACAAAACAAAACACAGCAGACATCACAGTATGCAGTCAGCGAAACTCACAATTACAACCTTCTGGGACACGACTTTCGAAAGTGCCATGACATTTAAGTCACGTTTCATTAATCACATAGATATTAAACACTGATGAGACAAAATATACAGTAGCTGAGACTCACACCACATTTCTTCTTCAGTCTGACTTCTGCCATGGAAGACGTAAACTCGCACCAAACTGTTTCAAAGGTCTGCTATTGTGTTCAATGACAGTGGTTATCCCAAACATACAACACACAAGTTGGTGGGATATTTACTTAGCTATATTCAAAAAGTTATGTCAGAATGAGTGGTGGGTTTTGGTGGGTTCTCAAGCTCCCAGGACTCTGGTAGAGGACCCGAGGACAGGATGAGGACCACAGGGGTGAGAGGGGAATTTATATATATGTATATATAATGTGTATGTGATTGACTGTCAATGTTGGGAAGGTTACTTTTAAAATGTATTCCACTACAGATTACAGATTACATGCCCCAAAATGTATTTTGTAACGTATTCCGTTACATTACTCAGTGAGAGTAACGTATTCTGAATACTTTGGATTACTTAATATATTATCATGCTGTTTACAACTATATGAATGTCCTATTGCTGTGTGATTTATTACTATTACTGAAGGCTACTCGCCATACTAATACCAATTAGATTTTTAAATCTTAATATAAATGAGTAACAGTAGGTGGACATTAGGCAAGGCTGCGTATATATAACAGGTCTGCGGCTCCGAACCGTAGTAAAGGGACCTCTGGCTGATACGTCGGGTTCGTGTCGGCTCGTAGCTGAAAACTAGCTTTACTTTGTTGTCTGGGTCACTTTGCTAGCGAGAGACAGAGAGAGGCGTTGAAAGGCTGCTGCAACAGAGCTTATTGTTTCAGAGGAAACACGAACACAGTGCACAGTCGAGTCTTAATAGCTTACTTACAGCTGGGCTCGTCAGGCTCTCTGTTTGGCTGTGTAACCGGTGTGATTCTGCGTTGTGTCTGATAAAAAAGGTAAAAGAAAGAAAGGCCTCCAAGTAAATAATTTGCCCACTCCAGCTCCTCTCCCACAGGGGAATTGTAGAAAAGGGGAGAGGCAAAAGGGGTACACTGTATTTATAGGGTTGCACCAAAGAAGAAGAAGGAAAGAATGAGGAGGGGCTCTAACTGATAATGAACATAACTACAGGCTAGGAGGTCCTGAAAGTCAGGTACAAAAGGAATGGTTTGGGGGTTTAGATTTTGTGTAATTATAACAAGATGTGATTTATGACCCTGTTACAGCTGCAGTGGTTATTATTATATTTACATGCTTCCAGCTCCCGTTTCTGCTCCGTGACAGCTCCTACTTTTCCTTTTTCTCCCTCCCTCGCTCACAGACACATATGACGGGTATGACAGTCCATCCTCCCTGCAGCAACACTGCCCATGAGGCTGCTTTCTTTAGCGCTATGCCTGTAGGGCTTTGGAGTTGACGTCACGCCGCAGTGCATTGTGGGATCGCAGCGCCATGACAGAAGGCCACAAATCAAAACAAACACACTGTGTTAGAACCATGCTTAAAATCAGTGCAAAAGACAAAGGGCCGTATCGCGACCGATTGCGGCCGGACGCCAAGAGACGGTACTTGGAAAAAATAGCGTGCATCGGTAATGTGGACCCGTATGAAAAAAGGCAGTGGACTGGAAACCCAGACAGCCTACTGCCGTTGGCCTATCCCGATATTTTCGCGTGCCTCGTCTGTGGAGTCAGCGCATACACGGTGCAGTAGGTTGACCATACGACCAAGAAACAGCCAGAGGTTGCACATAACATTGACTTCTCCTCAGCAGCTGCCCCCATAATTGCTCTAGATGAACGATTCACGATTGATGCCAGCTGTGCGTTGCCATGTAAATAGTTTGCATTTCATGTGTATGTATTTGCTAAGTACATGTGAACAGATCTTGAATAAAAAAAAAATAAACATACTTTTCATTTCTGTTGTATTGAAACCACTTTACAGAAAGTACAATTATTTATTATTCGGTGGCACAGTGGTTAGCACTGATGCCGCACAGCAAGAAGGTCCTGAGTTCAATTCCATCATCAGGCCGGGGTCTTTCTGTGTGGAGTTTGCATGTTCTCCCCGTGTTTGCGTGGGTTCC